AAAAATAGTACTTACACCAACTTAGCCTATTTAAACAAACTATCAAACTAAGGAATAGCACAAGGGTACAGCACCTGACTACCATACATGAGACCTGAATTTGATCATTAGGACCGACTGCCAAAGACAACTTAATAACTTTCCCAGAATAAAAGGAATGTTTAAGCAAATGAAATTTCTCAGATTTTTGTTAATCAAATATTATCCCACATTTTTGTACATTTAACAGATTATTGTTGTCACCATAACCAGTATACACAGGCTAGCAGTATACCTCATAGGAAGAATTGTAGAAGTAAAACTAGATGAAAATATTAGGCAAGCTAAATTCTGTCTGAACAAACTTCTCTGTACCGAGTTAGTTTCACCCTAACACTTGTTTCTTGCTTAGATGGACAAAGAGGCTGTACTAAGCAGAAGAGAACTATAGCCATGAGCTAAATTAACAGTAGGCTATGTAACCCCAAATCTCCCTGTGTTGTGACAGCCGAAGTTGTGGAGGCTGAATGCATTCCTCACAGCAATCGGTCTGAGGTAAGACCAGAAACAGATTCAGCAGCAAGGCCAAATGACTTTCCCTCAGCTCTGTGTACAATAGATGCCCTGTAGGAGGAAGTCTGTATGCCGCCATTAAACATGTGACTTACTAGAGGCGCATACAGATGAGGTAATAAAAGGGCGGTTTACCACACCGCTAACCACACCCACTTTAGGCATGACTAAAGACGTATACGGCCGGATGTAAAGACGTATACGTACGTAGGCGGTGAACTACGTCACTAGCCAGGCCCACTTTTGGGCATGGCTAGGGGGCGTTACGGGGGAAGGCATAAAAGACAGCACACAGGAAGTCTCGGTCTCTTTCCCGGAGTTCGGCTTCCAGTTCGGCAGCAGAAAACTACTTGGCTCATCTGGGTTACTTGTTTGGTATCTTGTGAGTAATTTCTACAATAAATACTTAGTTTTACTTTCAGTAAGTGTGTCGCTTATCGCTACAGTGTCATTTGGAGCTACAATGCCCTGTGTGTCTCAATCTCAGATCAGTGCCGACTTTCCTACCAGCTGACTCTGAGTTGGTAACCATTCTGGAGTCTTAGCATCATAATACACATACACAATAATACACATTATAACAATTCACCTGCTGCCACGAAAAGTTCACAAGAAATCACACTAATCCAAAATGACCAATTCAGGCCTACTGCTGTTCTGGGTTCCATCAAGGACCCATCCAGGCAAAGTAGCACACATTTTTAACCCCAGCACTCAGAAGGCAGAGACAAGTGGATTCCTGAGGCCAGCGAGGTCTAACAGAGAGTTACAAGCCATCCAGGGCTACCTGAAGAGACCCTATCTGTATATTAAAAATGATATGAGGGAGAGGAAATTGGGATTGGAATGTAAAACGTGAATTAATTAAAAATGTTCAAAATAAAAATAGTAATTTTTCTAATTTTTAAAAGTCTTGCACTATTTATAGTAAGTTAAGATGAAAGTTATTAAGATCCCAGTTAGTCCACATCCCAGAGTACTGTGGCCAGAGTGACAAAAGCAACATAGGAACCATTCTTTCCCTCCTTCCTCATGTGGCTGTAGCTAGTACATGTGAAGCTAGTACCAGGAAGGATAAGAGTGAGGAAGTAATTACATTCCCACCAGCTAAACGGCAGTGTAACGCTTGAAGGGGTTAACCTCCACCTGTACATTCACAATGAGAGGCCTAGAATCTCAGGTAGGAGAAGATCCCCAGTCAACAGCACCATCTTCCACAGACAGCGTAGGAGAATGAATGTGGCTAAAGACAGAAAAAGAATGACTTCTCCATGAAGAGAATACTTTCCTAGGCTCACTTGAAGATGGCTCATATAATAAAAGCACAGAAGAAATATAATACAAAAGGTACATAACTGGTAGAGACCTGGTCTGTTATAAAATATGAGTTTCATTAAGTAAAAGCAGCTGAAAGGGTCTGTGTGAGCAAATCTGTGTGGGCAGAATCTGTGTGAGAAGAAAATATGTGAGCAGAAACTGTGAGCAAATCTGTGTGAGCATGCAGAAGGTAAGTAGTTACCACCCCTCCTAGCCAATCTGTGCCTCGAAGGTCCTCCCAAAGGATTATCAGGACTGTGTAATTCAGAGACATGTCAAAAGTCACACCGCTGGGGCCCCGGCCTGCCTGTGACCCTTGCCTGAGCTGGCTGGCTCCACGCTAACTTATGCTTCTATTGGCTCTGGTAGAGAGACATGATGCTCCACAGACGGAAGATTGCACCAGCCAAGCTCACTAGTGCTCAGCGTGTTTCACCACCCTCTACTGTCTATCTAGCATTGTGACACTATTTCCCAAATGACTCCAAACACTGAATGGAAACCAGAGCCCACACCTAAACTTCCTAAACATGGAGTCAGAAGTGGGGCAGAGGTCCACAGCATGCAGTCATGATTTACATGGGTTAATACAGACACAGATGAACGTGGAACACAGTTCTCCTCCTACATTGTCTTTTGCTTGCTCACCTATGTCAGCCTCTGTCACAGTGACCTACTGGATGACTATCTCCCAACAGACACCACATTTTAATGAACTTATGATCCCATGCCAAGCTTAGATGTCACAGATGCTCCATAACTTGGAGTTTATTCCAATTTCACAGGCTAAATGATAGCCAGTCTGGATTAAATATAGCAAAATCTCATAGGTTCTGGCCTTACTCTAAATTAAGACATATTTTCTCCCACTCTTTCTTTTGAGGGTCCCATGTACCCTAGGCTGGCCTCAAACTCTGGTCAAGGATGATCTTGACCTTCTTTCTGTCTCTACCATCTTGAGTGCATGGGATTACAAGTCTGTACCACTTCCCTTAGTTTGTGTGGTGCAAGGGATCAAAGTCTGGGCTTCATGTGTGCCAGCCAGGCAAGCAATCTACCAACTGATAGCCACAGCTTCTACAGTTCCTCATGTACAACCCTTCAGATGATAAATTTCTTCTTACAAAGTACCTGACCACTTGAACAGTTTTAATACTAAATCAGAATGCCTAGATTTTTCTCCATTTTTTATCATGTTTAAAAAAATTGTAACTGGAAATACAGGAAAGTCATTCAGAATGAGTGAGAATTTAAACTCCTATAGAAACTTGGTGGCAGCCTCTGGGACCACTGCCCAGGTCAATTCTAAGCTATCTATGATGCTGGAATATGGAGCACACAGCTGTACCCATCAAAGCAAAGGGGGCAAGAGACCCCACAGACCCTCCATACCACAAGGTCCCCTGTGTATGCAGAACTGGTCCAACAACCCTATCAGGCCCAAGTCAGAAGCTATACCTAGATGATAAACACCTCCAATAGCTAGGGGAAACATAGGAAGGGAGGATACGCTTGCTTTGTGTTCTGTTAAGCTCACTGAACACAGGGGAAGAGGGTGTGCATTGTACATGACAGGACACCCCCTGAACTTCTTGTGGGCCTTGTTGTTATCTTGGTGACAAGTTAAAAAACCATCACACACAGCTAAGTTCTAACTCCCCGGTATTCTGATTAGTCTCGCTATGGTTTGGAAAGTGTGGACCTCAAAGGTCCCCGTGTTAGGGGACTGGTCCTCGGTGTGGCAGCACTCAAGTGCTGTGGACATTATGAGGTGAGGCCTCAAATGCATCCCTGGGTCATCAGGGTGCTGCCCTGGGCTAAGCTTCTGCAGCTGGTGACAGGTTCTTGTAGGTGTGATGAGACAGACCCCTGAGTCACTGTCTGCTTGCAGCTCACAACAGAAGAAGCTTCCTCCTCCCACCTTCCACCTGGGCTCCTCCACCTGCAGGAGATCCTCCTGGGCTCCACACTGCTCTTGCACCTGAGGAAAGTGTGCCACCGGTGTTTTCTTACCGTGACTAAAAACCTGGCAAACAGCCAGGCAGTGGTGGCGCACGCCTTTAATCCCAAAACTCGGGAGGCAGAGGCAGGAGGATCTCTGTGAGTTCAAGACCAGCGTGGTCTACAAAAGCTAGTTCCAGGACAGCCTCCAAAGTCACAGAGAAATTTTGTCTCTAAAAACCAAAGAACAAAAAAATCAACAACAAAAAAAAAACCTGACAAACAGCCCTCATCCCACCCTCTTGAAAAAAAGTATCCAATCTCAAAATTAAGATGTAAATGATCAAAGAATTACTGATACCATCAAAACATACACACAAGCAAAGTCGCAGGACAAGTCAAAACTAAGATGAAAAATAATTACCATGCTGGGCAGCAGTGGCACACACCTTTAATTCCAGGCCTTGGCGGGCAGAGGCAAGCAGATATCTGAGTTTGAGGCCAGCCTGGTCTACAGAGAGAGTTTCAGGACATCCAGGGCTACACAGATAAACTCTAAACCAAAACAGAAAAAATAATTACTGATGTTTTCAAGTTAACAAAATTTTCAGTATAAAGATTAGAAAGCTCAAACAATAATAAATGTACGAAACATAGAAATTCTATTGTGTAATGCTGAATAAGATGGCCATATAATCTACAGCAACTGGAAAATGTAACACAGACAATAACTTCCCCCCAAAAATCAAACATTCACAAAACCAAATGAACAAGTAGTGAGTACTTAGATAGCACTATAGGAGATTGAACCACACTATGTCTTTGGTTAAACATAAATGAGTTGACCCCTCATGTTAGCGTGTAGGGGTGCTGAAAGATAGCACACATCACCTGCCTGTATCTCTTTTAATCCCTGACTACATCTTTAAAGCCACGAGTACCCTCTTCAAATGCAGGTCCTGGAAATAAAACAATGCATGGAAGAACACACAGAGGAGCTAACACACACTGCCCAGCCCTCCTGACAACAACGCTATGAAAACTCGGGCAGCCACTGTGCTACAGACAAAACTGTGGATGACCTTAGGCCTGGAGATGACACTGCTCTCTGCATGTACCAGCCAGAAGGGGTGGCTCTAAACCCAGCCAGCTTGCATATTTAACTGATCACAATAGAAGGCAAGACTTACCCACAGAAGCTGAGTTTTTAAGAACCGACTCCTTTGGGGCTCCTTTTTCAATTCGCAATGTGGCCCACTGTTCCAAAAAAAAAAACAAGAAGCAATTTGTTGAAACTCTTCCACAGACTAATGTAAACACTGAAACATACCTAGATAGAAGCAACCTTAAAAACCAAGGCTGGGCACCATCTGAATTAGGGAGACACCCCAGGGAAATCTTTGATGTACATTATCACTAAATGTGAGGGCTAAATGCCTAGAACATAGCATGAAGGTCAAGAAGTATGACTCCATCAGGACCGTGCACAGTAGCACGGAGCCAAGCAGGAGACTGCCACCTAACTTAGAACACCTAAAAATAGAGGCCAGTCCTCCAGGCTTCCGGTGACCCTTCACTACTGGAAGACTCGATCTTCATCTGGCTGCATCCTTTCTGTTCTTGTTTGGGGGAGAGGCATTAAGCTCTGGATTCCCAGAGCTTTTCTCAACTGAGGTGGAGGTTAATTGCCATAGCTTTCCCCTAAAGCTTTGTCATTTGACATCTATTATATAGGTAGCATAAAATAAATCTGTGTGAGCAAGCCATCACTATTATTCTTAGAACTCACCTTTCTATTGTGGCCACCAAATTCTATATTTCATAATAAGGCACCTCAGACTAGAACAATTATTGCATTCTAATGGTGGGAGATGTGAGAATTTTTAGCAGGTAAGAGCTCAGTTATGTACCCTCCAAAATTCACATGGTGAAAATAGAAGGTTTGTATTTGGAGACTGGATCTTTAAAAGATGTGATCCAGTTAAAATGAAGCCCTTAAAGTGAGCCCTGATGAGTGATCTAAGAAGAAATTTGGATCCCCAAAGAAATATCAGAGGTAGTGCTGGGGAGATGGTTCAGTGGGTTAAAGCGTTTGCTGTGCATCTGTGAAGATTTGAGTTCAATCCCAAGAAATCACACAAAAGCCAGATATGTTGGCAAGCATCTGTAATCCCAGATCTCCTATAAGACAGATGAGAGGTAGAAATGGGAGAACCCACGGAAGATCACTAACTTCATGCTACCTTCATGTGTGTACCATAAAAACCACTGGCTTGAAGATGTAAGGACTGACACCCAAGGTTGTCCTCCGACCTCTCTACATGCATGTCACAAAGGCACCCACATTCACACATGAGGATGTGTGTGCATCCGTCTGCACACACATTGTATGCACACAAGAAAAAAGAAAAGAAGGAAATATCGGGGATTGTGTGAAGACAGTGAGAAATGAAGCCAGTCCCATGGACTCCCTGACCTGAGACTTCCAGTCTCCAGAATCCTAAGAAGGTAAATCTCTGCTGCCTGTGCCTGGGATATCTTGTCACATACAGTGACATTCTCAAGTAGCAAATCACACTCCTCAAAGAGGAAGGCAGACCACAAAGAACATTTGAGATGCATACGGTTTCCCCATTTGAGATGCATAAGGTTTCCTCATTTGAGAGCACCAAGGGTCTGCAAAGACAGTTCAAGATGAGCAAATTTCAAGGTTGGAGAGGCAGCTCTTCAAAGCCAACAGGAGTCTGTGTAGACAACAACTGCTTGGGAGTCTGTGTAGACCACTGCTTGGGAGTCTGTGTAGACCACTGCTTGGGAGTCTGTAGACAATTGTTTCCCAGTGCGTGTTTATTCACACGCTGAAAGCGAAGAGGTATTACAGTCTGCCTGGTGTCAGGGAGAATACGTCTTCCTATTTCCCAGCTGAGACTTTAAGCTCTTGGGGCATCTGTTTCATCATCTCTCTGAGAAGGGTCAACACCAAAGGTGACAGTAAAGATTAACGAGCCGGGCAGGGTCTGACACAGATCTGGAAGCCCAACTACTTGGGAGGCTGATGCAGGAGGATCATAAATTCAAGGCCTGCCTATGCCAACTCTAACCTAGTGATTTAAAGGCCAGCCTGCACAACTTACTGAGTCCCTATCTCAAAAAACAAAGTAGAATGAGAGTTGGGGGAGACGGCATGGTGGTAGAGAGCACTTGCCTAGTGTGTGCAAGTCCTTGGGCTCAACCCCAGCATGGGGAGGCGGGGCATGCAGGAGGCAGGGCATGCGGGGAGCACCTGCCTGGTGCCCACCAGTTGGGAGGATACAAAGCGATTCTGATGAATTTCTCCTTCCCCCCATCCCTCACACTTGGTTTAGGTGACAAAGTGAGCAGTTCCCCAAGACTGATCTCCCAACAGGTAACTATTTGTCTTTAGCATGCCGGCTTCTCCACCTGAGAGGGAGTCCCAGGATAGTTCTTCTCTTCAAGGTAACCTCAGAGTACTTCTACCTCAAGGCCATACAGACAAGAGGACCCTGAATACAGAAGTAGCTTTAGCACCCCAATATTACACCCCACCTCGGTCTTCAAGGCCTGAGGAAGGCTAAAAGGCATGGATCTGTCAAGCTTCTCAGCACTTAATTTCTAAAGCCTGTAAGGGGGCAAACTCACTAAAGCTTGTTTCAAGATTAAAAAAAAAATCTGATGGATTCCAGGCTACGGAGATAAGGATAACCCTCAATTTCTTTTGTCTTTGAAAATTTCATACACGGATACCACATTTATATCATTTTTACCTCACCCTTCCCCACCTTCCATGCCCCCACCACTCCCTCTTCTTTATTAGTGATACACTGTGTTAGTGAATGTATACATATTCCTGCCTCTACCTCCCAAATCCTGAGATTATAGGCATGTGCCGCATAGCCGGGTTTATGTGGTGTTAGGAATCGAACCCGGGGCTTTCTGCATACCAGGAGAGCACTCTACCAACCAAGACACATCCCCAACCCTCAAGTCTGATTTTAAAACAAACCAAAAGCTTGCAAAATTATGAAATTCTCACCCTAACCAATTATAACTTCTAAACTTTATGCTGTAAAGAGTCAAGGACTGAGCCGGGGGTTGGTGGCACACGCCTTTAATCCCAGCACTCGGGAGGCAGAGGCAGGTGGATCTCTGTGAGTTCGAGACCAGCCTGGTCTACAGAGCGAGTTCCAGGACAGCCTCCAAAGCCACAGAGAAACCCTGTCTCGGAAAAACCCAAAAAAAACAAAACAAAACAAAACAAAAAAAAAGAGTCAAGGACTGGCTGAAGATGGGGAAAGAGACAATGAAAACAAGTAAAATCATCTAAAAACTCAAATTGTAAGGCTTACAGAAATAACAGCCGGCAGTCCTCTGTAGCTGAACGACAGCTTCTCGGCAGGGTCTGTCAAATCGGCAGACAGAAAATCCTGGCTCCAGATTCAAACTGAAAGCCTGACTCTATCCCCAACAGCTGCATGCTACTGAACTCCTGCCCTAAATCAATAAGAATAATAGCAGGCCCCTGTGGGATGGGGTAAATGAAAAACCAGCTTTTCTTTATTGCCATCACTTGTTATAAACAGCCTGGGCCTGCCTTCTAGCGCACAGATTGTATTTCCACCATCGGAGAGAGCATCTCTTACACAAACTCGGTAATAGCCTACTGGGAACTATGGGCATGCCTCTTTCAAAGGGTGGAAAGCCTGTTGTGGACGGAAGACAGAGTGAAAGGATGAGAGAAGGCACAACAGGAGTCAAGTTAAATCTTAGTTTCATGAGCAGACAATACAGTGTCATAGCGTCCCAATCTAAATGCCACTAAAACTCAGCACCAGCTGTGTGTTAAGTGCCTCTACTACTTCAACCCTCAGAATAATCCAGTAGGATATGGACCTGGACATGTAGAAACTGAGGCTGTGACAAAGTGACCCACCAGAGACCACAGAGCCAGGATCATGGGAGAACCTGTCCTTCCCTCCACCTTATCCCTTAAAAGTGGAAGGAGGTTACTCCTTGCTGTGCCTGCATTATCCAAAAAAAGAATTTGCATCTAAAAAGTCCCTTTCTTTCAGGGTTGGCAAAAGAACCCATGATAGGCTCGCTGTGAGCTGTATCCATAGCTCTCATACTTCCTTCCTGTCAACAGTTGTACAATCTCTTCCTGTTCCTCATCCCCTTCTACTCATAAACATCACACCATAGAAAAGCAATCCCTCCCGTTAATCACTAGCCTTACAATTAACTTGGAGGGTTGAGAGCAGTGGGCTATCTAACCTACACTCCTGCTGGATAAATGTGAAAACCACACACACACACACACACACACACACACACACACACACACACACACACACACACACACACTAGATACTGTGACAATACAGTCTACCATCGGGGGATTTCTCCTGATGGCACCTCCCAAGTCCGTAGTTTTACTTCTCAGTTTGTACCCAAAACAATTCCCCCAATATTAACAAAATCTTTGATATATATACACACACACACACATATATGTATGTATATATATATACGTATATATATATGTATATATATATATACGTATATATATATATATCCCAGTCAGTTCTTATGTGTCCCTTGGAAATCCAGTCTAAAGACTCATTGAACTGATTCTATCCCAAACAGTCAATGTCTTCAAACAGTTTGCCATACCAGAGACATGTATTCATATCTAGGGACACCTAGCAACAGAGAAAGCAGCATGCAATAGGTGTTCAAAACATAATTATTGTGCAAGCACATATGCAAATTTGCTAATATATGTGCGTGTATAATAGTAACTATATAAAAACAATAATTTAATATAAATATATATTTGTAAGTCTGTAAACGATAGTATATAATTATATATAGTACATAATGATGTTATAAAGAATAATATAATACAATAAATAAAAGTAACAACTTTTAAAATTAGAAGTAATTTCTTTAAAGGAAAAGAACAAAGCAAGAGTACTCAGTGCTATCTATCACTACCTTAATGCCACACTGCAAGGAGTCCCTGTCCTATTTAACACAGAAGGCAGGAGAGAAGCAGGGAGGGAAAGGAGGCATCAAATGACAGTTCCGCAGAGAATGTAATGGCTACTAGAATATCTGAGGGCATGTGTGGAAGTCAGGGGACAACTTGCCATGGTCTCCACCTTGCCATGTGGGTTCCAGGGATCAAACTCAGGTCATCAGACTTGGTGACAAGTGCCATTTCACCAGGCTCCTGATCTGCAGCTCAGCCTGGCCTCAAGCTTACAACAGTCTTGTCTTGGCCTTTTGGGTGTTGAGATTATAGGTATGACCACTGCCTCAGACAGAAGGAAATGTTAATATTTCTAACTTCACGATGCTGTTTATATCTACTTTGACCACAACCACCACATGCCCACTAATAATAATTCTTCTGGTGGTGGTGGCACACTCCTTTAATCCCAGCACTTGGGAGGCAGAGGCAGGCGGATCTCTGTGAGTTCAAGGCCAGCCTGGTCTACAGAGCGAGTTCTAGGACAGGCTCCAAAGCTACACAGAGAAATCCTGCCTGAAAAATAAAATAAAAAACAAAAATAAAAGTTCTGGAGATGTAGCTTGGTGGGTAGAGAGCTTGACTAGCATAAAGACTTGGTTCCACTCCCAGCATCCAATGAACTGGAAGTAGTGATGTGTGCTTGGAATCCTAGATCTTGGGGTAGAGACAGGAGTACAGACATGCAAGGCCATTCTCAGCTACAGAGCAAGTTAGAAGGGTCAGCCTGGGCTACATGCGATCCTGTCTTGTGGGGATCACAGACCCTGGCCGGAAACCCACTCCTCCATCAGCCTGGGAGCAGGCAGCTGAGAGACAATGTTTACTGAAAACATGTTTACTGAAAACAATTCAGTGCCATAAATTCCTGATAAGGGCTTGATAAGGGCTTGGTCACTGAAACACCCTGACTTTGATCTTCCCGATGGCTAGCTACTCCCTGCTGTTCCCGATTCTGGTGCCAGAGATTTAACCACCAGCCAGGAGGAAGGAGAGTCTGTGAGAGGTGTGTGAGAGGGCTGTTGGAGATTTGTGCATGTATGGTGGCAGAAGTTTTTCTGAGGGGAAGCGTTTTTTCTTGGGAAGTTCTCCTAAGCCGATTTGGGGAGCATAAAGTTTTCTTAATGCAACCGACCGGTCTCTGTGTCATCAATCCTCGCCACATTCTCAGATACAGGCTGCGCAGGAGGTGCAGCACTGTCTCCCCCCCAAAAAGGGCCTTTTTTTTTTTTAAATAAAAAATAAAAAGAAAGTAGACCTCTTTTGAAAACAAAATTCCCCCAATCATCAAGAAACTCGCCTCTAACTCTACATGTGGAAGTTCATATTAGTAATTCAAAGTATGAACTTAGGAGGCCAAGACAGTTTGGTGTCAGTTCAGATGTCAGATTGGATCATACCAAGTCCTGAGTTCCAGGCTATCTTGGGCTATAAAGTGTGTGTGTGTGTGTGTGTGTGTGTGTGTGTATGTGTGTGTGTGTGTGGTATGGTATGGTATATGTGGTGTGTGTGTGTTGTGTATCGTATGTGCATGTACATGGTGTGTATATGTGGTATGGTATAGTGTATGCGATGTATGTTGTAGGGAGAGGGGCATGTGTATTGCTTGGGTTTAAATTCACACACGTGGAGAGAGAGAGACCATCTCCGGAATTTCTTTCTGCTCTAGATAGAAAACTCAGGGCCCGCCGGGTGGTGGTGGCGCACGCCTTTAATCCCAGCACTCGGGAGGCAGAGGCAGGTGGATCTCTGTGAGTTCAAGGCCAGGCTGGACCGACAGCCTCCAAAACAATACAGAGAAACCTTGTCTCATAAAACCAAGAAGAAAAAAAAAGAAAAAGAAAAAGAAAACTCAGGGCCCTGTCAAACAAGCTGAAAAGGCCTGGATTGGCAATCATCTCCTCAAATACAGTCATTTGCCAGCTGAGAACACTGAGGCAGTAACTCCCTCCTTGCCATATCTTTAGCTGTCCAGAAAGATTAAAGCAAGAGAGGCTGTAATAAGCACCTAGGAGCCAGTGTGTGTGACTCCCTTATCTAGTTCTCCAATGTCCAAGAAAGTGACTCAAATCACTTCAGGACATGCCCTGAAGAGGGTCAGCTGATGTATGAGGAGCGAGCATGCTAGAATGGCTGGAGAGGGAGGAAACTAAAACCCAGAGCATGTGTAACAGATAATGACGATGAGAAGAAAGAACAGACAAAAACCTGGAGAGCTGGCTGGCAAGGCGGAACGCACCTCTTATGTCAGTGCTTGGGAGCCTGAGGCAGCAGGTTGCAAAGTTCAAGCCAGTCTGAGCTACATCGTGAGATGCCATCTTGGAGGGGGGAGGGGAGAAAAGCAAAGAATGGGACAGACTGGCAATGGGAAATCTACTATAGCTGCAAACATTCATTAAGGAAATAGCCACAAAGAGAAAGTCCAACAAGAATCCAGAGGGAAGCCTTAGCAGGCAGCGGTGGGCTAAAGATATATATCTAGGAGTCATTCCTTTACTATGAAGGAAGAAGGGACAGTGCCAAGTCCTTTGGGAGGACAAAAAGTATGGGCCAAAAATAACACAGAGCACAGCTATAGGTGGTAATAGAGAAGCTGGGGAAACAAAGGCAGGGACTTTGAGCAACCATACTATTCATTCAATCATAACAAACACACAGAGCACCTAACACGTATGGGCACCTTGCAGAGACCATGCTGAGGGCTCCCTGTCCTGACGTGGTTTCTACTCTTAAAAACAACTATGTGGAAAGCTAAGTGTGATACCCCCTGTCTGTAAAGCCAGAACTTAGAGCCTAAGGTAAGTGGAGAATTTCAAAGCCAGGTAGGGCTGCAAGAGTGATAGCCTGTCCTAAAACCAAAACAGACAGACAGATGAAAATGATATGCAAATAGGTGTTGGTACTTCTATTTGGCAGATAAGTACAATAAAAGAGTCAGATGACCTTGTTAGATCAGGTACTGGGAAACGGATGAGAGTTAGGTACCAAATCTAGGCAAATCTGTACAGCCTACAGGGCCTCTCTCCATTAAGAGCACTACTGTTTGTCACACTGAATTCAAACGAACCTTCCAACTCTGCATCCCACAGCACTTGCCTCCCTACAAGGAGAGGCCTCCTGAATTTTACTAAAGACCCTTATGAACTTCAGCTGAAGCCTGTCTGTGGAATTTGGAAACAAGCCTAAGGCCAAGCTGAGGTCAAAGAAGAACTTTCGCATTCCAGTGCCCCTAGTTAGAAAAAAAAATCCCCACAACTCTACTAAAATAAAATCAGATTCTTTTTCTGCCACCTGGCCATTGCTTTCTTATCTTGGCCATGAAGTGGAACGTGATGCCTCTGTAGACACAAAAGGACCTCTGAAACCTGGGGCTGTAAAACCCCAAGAGGGAAGTGACCCCTTGCGAGGCATCGTGGGTAATAAATCCGCTGATGCAGCAAACGGCCATCCTGAGTTCATCCAGTAAGTAAAAAACAGTAGTGATGACAGAACCCAGGTGGAAGTGTTCTCCTGTGAGGTGGACTGTCAGGCGCCACCCAGCTCCCTAAGTTCTCAGAGCAGCCCGGGCTCGCATCCTGACCCCCCACACTCACCTCCAAGGTTTTCACCAGGATCTTCATGTAGAGCTCCGAGATGCCTAGAGATAATCCGAAGGCCGAGGGCAGCACGATGAGGCCGACCACCAGCGTCAGCCAGGTGGACAGGAGCTTCAAGGCCAGGTCTGCGCCCTCCATGTCTCGGCACGCCCTCGGGGAGGGGTCCCCAGGAGATCTGAGCGCAGTAGAGGGATTCCCAAGTCCCAAGCAGTCCCGCACAGCTCCGAAAACACAGCGTCCGACCCGGAGCCGGGCTCCGGGGACTCAGCGACGCCCGCCTCACTCCCTTCACCTCTGCGGGGCGAAGGGGAGGGAGAACTCTCAGAACTACGGCGGTCTCCTTCCCTCCTCCTCTGGGGTCCCTGTTGTCCCCGAAGGCTAACTCTCCCCGAGAGGCCCAGGCCAAGCAGTGGCCACCGCAGAGGGAGCAGACGAGAAGACCCAGCAGTCGGCGATCCAGGGGACACCCTGGTGCGGTCAGAGCTCACGGAGGCAACCAGGAACGCGCCCCACCCCGGGCCTGATTTCCTCCGGACAGCGATTGCGACAACCTGGCGGTGACTCACCCAGGCCCTCGGGCAGTGAGGATCCCTGCAGGTTCCCTGCACCTCTGCGTAGGCTGCGGGCAATGCGGGTAACCGGTGGCTTGCTTTCGGGTGCCGAGGAGCCCTTTTACTGCACTCTGCCCTTGCCCCACCCCCCTCACCACCCAACGGGGAGCTCCCTGGCACGACTGAGTCCCGGGGGCACCGCTGCCTGGGTGAGCCACCGCCCTCTGCCCCGCCTTTCCCCCGCCCCCTTGCCCTGCACTCCCATCAAAGGTCCTTTTCCGGAGCAGACTTTCCATCTTCACCCACAGAATGGGCCCCTGACGTCTCCCGGACTCTGCGGAAAATCTTGTTTTGTGAGCGTGCAAAACGACCGCCTGGGAAAGGCTTTCGGGAGGAGGGACTGCAGAGCAAGGGTGAGCAGTCACGCACCGCTGCTCCTGGCTCCCCAACACCTCCTTCCCTACCCTAGCCAGCCTCAGGGTTGAATCTTACAAGGAAGGAGAACGCTCACTCACTCACTCGTTCTCTCTCCACAAGTCGCCTTAACCACCCTGCCAACACCTCCCTGGTACAGAATAGACCCAGAAGATCGGAGTGGCAGTGTCGCAGGACTGTAATTCCAACACTTGCACTCAGGAATCTGAGACTGGAGAGGAGACGGGTCCGAGCGGTTCCAATAGTCCACCTAGGGCTAAATAACCAGATCCCTTTTTTAAAGGGCGGCGGGGGGGGGGGTGGATTCTGTTTGTCACTCCCTTCCCTGGAGGAGATTCCAGGCGAAGCTTCCCTTGCATCCGCCCACACTCAGAGCTCAGACTGCAAAAAATGCTGCGCAAATGCTAACCTTCACCCAACCCGCACGAGTTTCCCGGGGATCCACGTCCCACGCCGCTATGGTGCTAGCCCTTACTAGAACAAAGAACAAAAAATCCTGCACGTGTACTCCGCTGCAGCTCAACCAGTTTTAAGAAAAAACTGATAAGAGCTGTGAGCAAGCTGCCTAAGGTCCAGTCCGTCACTGAATCGGCTCTAAATTCTTCTTAGTAGAGGACCAAACTCGCTTTACAGTTGACAGTCGGAAATTGTTTTCAGAGTTGGAATAAGTGTGTGTGGGGGGAGACCAGCAAACTGAACGCTACGTGTTAATAGCAAATATTGCAGAGAAAGCTGTCTCCACCCCCAGGGGGCGTGGAGGAAGAAGGAAGCTCCTCTCTTTGCACCTCAGGCCAGTTGCCCACACTCTCCTCACTAGGTACTTGTGAAGGAAAAGATGTCAGGAACTCACTCTCAAAATGTATCCTCTGGGGCCAGTGGGACAGCTATTGACAAAGATGCCTGCTGCCAAACACCGCGCACTGTTAGTTTTTGAAAACCTATGGTGTAAGCGGAGAACCAATTATCACCTGACCACAGGTGGTGCTCAGTAGTATCTCTCTCTGTCTCTCTCTCTCTCTGTCTCTCTCTCTCTGTCTCTCTCTCTCTGTCTCTCTGTCTCTCTCTCTCTCTCTCTCTGTCTCTCTCTCACACACACACAAGATAAACAAAACATAATTTTTTAAAAATTGTGTGGACTGGAGAGCTGGCTCAACGATTAAGAGTACTGACTGCTGTTCCAGAGGACAAGGATTCAATTCCGAGCACCCACATAGCAGCTAAGAACTGTCTATAACTCCAACATCTGACACTCTCACACAGACAGACAGACATGCAGGCAAAACACCAATGCACATAAAATAAATGAATTATTTTTAAAAATGTGCCAGGCAGTGGTGGCACATGCCTTTAATTCCAGCACTTGAGAGGCAGAGGCAGGTCTCTGTGAGTTCGAGGCCAGCCTGGTCTACAGAGCAAGTTCTAAGACAGGCTCCAAAGCTACAGAGACACCTTGTCTCAAAAAGTCAAAAATAAATAAATGGGTTTTTTTGTTTTGTTTGTTTGTTTTGCTTTGTTTTGTTTTGGATCATCTACCAGAGATGAGGGGAAAAAAATTGTAACCCCAGCACTTGGGAAAAGGAGACAAGAAGACCAGGAGTTCAAGGCCAGCATGGGCCTTTGTCTCAAAAACACAAAAAGAAACATCTATGTGCAGAAATAAACATTTCTAGAAGCTGACCAACAAATCCTGTGTCTACATGTGTGTTATCTACATTTAGCTCACAATCTAGGATTGACTAACTCATTTAATACTGTCCAAGTGAAATGCTTAGCTTCCTTTATTTCCTCCAACCAAATGGAAGAAAGGATGCTGAATAGTCCACCCTGCAAAGGAAGCATACAGGCAGCCCTTGTTACTGTTTACACCCCCTGGTGCTGAGTGCTCACATGCCCCAGTAAGTTTTCTTGTTCCTCACCAAACTTGTGAAAGTGGCTTTGGTTTGGGGTTTTGTTCAGGAATGAGCCTGTAAACAAAGCTGTATCTGGAAATCAGAAAACTGCTACAAGGGCAGCGCTCCTTCTCACCTGAGCCCTGAGAAGCCTCCAAAAAGACAGAAGCTCACCTTGGCAACCTTGAGAAGGAGAGGCTCAGCAGAGCTTGCTTTACCTCCCAGGAACCTCCTTCCCTTCCTGCAATTCCTTTGCCTTAACAGATAAACCCTGGAGTTTCTACTTTAATGAAAGCCAGAAATTTGCAATCAAGGGGTCTGTAATGCTTGGTCAGTGCCCTCAGGGAGAATCTTCTGGCCTCATCAAGTTTCCATTGTTCTCAGAGGTCTTGAGTTGGGCAACTCCAAGTCTCTGTCCAAGTGTTGATGTGACCTACCTAGGCAAACTCTACCACTGAGCTACATCCTCAGCCTTTTTCTTAGGTGCCAACTCGACTAAAGAATACTTACAAACTGGGGGTGGTGGCTTGAATGAGAATGGCCCTCATTGGCTCTTATGTCTGAATGCTTGATCCCCAATTGGTGGAACTGTTTAGGAAGGGTTAGGAGGCGTGGCCTTGTTGGAGAAGGTGAGTCACTGGGGGCAGGCCCACACCATTCCCATTGTTTCTCCCTGCCTCCGGCTTGTGTCTCAAGATGTGAGCTCTCAGCAGGTGCTCCAGGGCTATGCCTTGCCTGCCTGCAGCCATGATCCCTGCTGTGATAGTCAGGGACTCACCTTCTGAAATGGGGACCCAAATAAACTCTTCTATATTGCCTTGGTCATGTGTCTAGAAAAGTAACTAAGAAACTTGGAAGAAAATTGTTTCTGAGTGTACCTGAAGGTACTGATGACAGTTGAGATTGACATTCAAAGATAGTGCATGAGGATCTTTTTCTAGACCGTGGGCTGGGCACTGAGGTCTGCTACATCAGAGAAGAAAGTTTGAGGGAAGAGTCTCCCCAACAAATCCTGATTTGTCTTCTACCTTCTGATTTGTAAGTGTTACTGCTGGGGTATTCAAGGGTATGAGGGGCACACTCAACCGTTCGAGTATGTGGAGGGCAGAGGTCCACTTTGGTGTCTCTATCATTTCCAGGCATCTTGAGACAGGGTTTCTCACTGCACCTGGGTGTCTTTCATCTAGACTGGCTGGCTAGCAAGCCCTGAGGCTCACCTGGCTCCGCCCTGCCCTGGGATTACAGGAGCCACCATCACACCTGGCTTTTAGCATTATCCAAACTCAGGGCCTCAAATTTATACAGCAGGCATTTTACCCAGAGAGCTACCTCCCCAGCAGCCTTATCTCCAAGAGTATGAGGGCAACACTCCCCACATGGGAAAGTTGTGCTGATGTCCCCAGGGAGCAGCTAAGTCTCATGATGATATACCTCCATGGGTAGCTCAATTACTGGCTTCTTAAAACTCTATATTTTTTTCATGAGGGGGGTCTGGTATTTGAGGCAGGGTCTCTCTAAGTAGTCCTGGCTGTCCTGGAACTCAAAACCAGGCTAGCCTGGAACTCAGAGATCCACCTGCCTCTGCTTCCAATTTGTATTATATGCTGTTTTCAAATCCTCAAATTCTTCCTTAGCTGCTGTTTATACAAAATCATTAATTTGTCCTACTACATTATTTGAAATTGGAGTATAATGTTTCAATTATTTGTTTCACATGGCCATCAAGGACAGGGGAGATGTCTTAGCAGGTAAAGAGGTCTGTTGAACAAAGCCTGAGTTCAATTTCCAGATCCCACATGGTGGGAACAGAAAATTGTCTTCTGACCTCCACATGCATGCCTGTACACACAGACACACACAATAAACAAAAATTAAAATAGGTACTAAGATTTTTTTTTTTTTGGTTTTTCAAGACAAGACAAGGTTTCTCTGCATTGTTTTTGGAGGCTGTTCTGTGTCTTAGAACTGGCTCTGTAGACCAGGCTGGCCTCAAACTCACAGATATCTGCCTGCCTCTGCCTTGGGTACTAAGATATTAAGATGTTAGGGGCACAAAGGTCCTTGCACCCACAAAGCACTAGGGAACCAAGAATGTTAAACACACAGAGGTCCCTCTTTAATGGAGGAGATAAAATACCTGTTTTCCCATTCAGAAGACTCAGTGTGCATTTTGTTAATGACCTGGTGACTATTCTGCTTATCTGTGGAGGCAGACCTCACCCACCTTCTGCTATAGAGCCAGACCTCACTGACTGATTATCCCAGTCTCTTCCCTCCCTAGACCATCCATAGGGGAGATGACACAAGTCCTTTAAGGCCTGATGACCTCTATGCTCTCGGTCAAAGACCACATTAGATTCTAGCTCTTTTAGCTCTAGAACCTACACTCATGGTCATGTGTACTTTGTAGAGGAGCATCTCTGTGGACACGCCTTAAGCTCTATTGTGTACCTGGAATTGGGCTGATTGTTGCCTGGAAACCTTTTCCCTAATTGTATTGTTTTAAATATACTGATAATAGTCTGATCCAGGTTGATGAGGTCAATCCGCACCAGGTTTTCATTCTCACCTCTTCAGTGCTTTGCTTCCATCTGACACCTGCAGGGCCCCACCCCCCACCCCCAGCCCCCACCCCACCTATTTGTCCACAGGTGCTGAGATGTAAGAAGAATATGACACAGGTTCTGAGGCCACTGACTGAAAGGTTGTAGTGGACGAGGCCACACCCCATGAGAGCCCCGTAGATTTCCCTGGGATGCTCTTATCCTTGCTGCCCTTCATCCTGAGATGGAGAGCTCTGAGGCAGGAGATAAGGAAGGGCGTGGTGTACCTTTCTGCCCA